GTATATATATATATATATATATATATATATTCACACCCCTGCTTCCTCCTCCTTTAGGCAAAACAGAAAGGATACTAACTAAAAGTCTGAGAGTGACTTTAAGTTGACAGTTGCTAAATACCTGTTTGATGAGTTGTAACAGCTTTCAATAGACTTCGTTTAAACAACAAAAGAAAGAGGCTGTAGATATAAAAATAACACACACAGGAAAAAAAAAAGTACAAGAAGGCAACCCTGTTTGTAAAATACACGTACAGGATTAGTGGACACCGGTTAACAGAAGTGGATGTTAGCCTTTCAAAGAAAGGTTACATAAATAGTTTAACTTATTATACAAAGTTAAGAATGCGTGGCCTTCTAGGACAGAGTTCAGCTGAAGTTTATTTAACCTTCGGTATTTAAAGGTGCTGTTTTACTTTTAGGAGAGACATATTTAAAGGCATTCCTTCTTTTTTCTAAGGGATGATAAGGGGGTGGGGGGGTGGGAGAGGAAAGGAGAGATGGTCCCTATAGTTTTTAGTATTTAAAGGGAGAGGGGGGCTTTCAAGACAGTTTTGGGTTCCTGCCGAAACAAGTCCCTGCAAGTTTTCTTGGCAAGAACTCAGAACTGGTTGGCCATTGCCTCCTTCCTGGCGCTGAGAGAGAGGAACTGGCACAACCTCGCACAGCAGATTTCGCGCCAAGGTAGAACTAGAACTCACAGTCTCCTGGTGTCTAGCCTGGTGCCTGAAGAACTACATCAAACTGGCTTTCTTTCTTGAATGCAAAGGAATGTTGTCCAGAATCCAAGGAGGTTCGAGGAACTGAGTACCATAGGAGGAAGAGACCACGAAGTTTAGACAATTGGTGTAAGAGAAAGTGGACGAAGACAGCTCCTCCCTAATAGTTGGAATAGAATGGAATAACAGAGTTGGAAGGGACCTTGGAGGTCTTCTAGTCCAACTCCCAGCTTAGGCAGGAAACCCTATACCATTTCAGGCAAATGGTTATCCCAATTCTTCTTAAAAACTTCCAGTGTTGGAGCATTCACAACTTCTTGAGGCAAGTTGTTCTACTGGTTAATTGTCCTCAGTGTGAGGAAATTTCTCCTTAGTTCTAGGTTGCTTCTCTCCTTGATTAGTTTCCATCCGTTGCTTCTTGTCCTGCCTTCAGCTGCTTTGGAGAATAGCTTGACTCCCTCCACTTTGGGGCAGCCCCTCAAACATTGGAAGACCACTATCATGTCACCCCAGTCCTTCTTTTCACTAGATTAGATATATATCCAATTCCAGCAACGGTTCTTCATATGTTTTAGCCTCCAGTCCCTTAATCCTCTTTGTTGCTCTTCTCTGCACTCTTTCTAGAGTCTCAACCTCTTTTTGACATCATGGTGACCAAAACTAGATGCAGTATTCCAAACGGGGCCTTACCCAGGCCTTATAAAGTGGTATTAACAACTCAAGTGATCTTGATTCTATCTCTCTGTTAATGCAGCCTAGAACGGTGTTGGCTTTTTGGGGCAGCTGCAGTACATGGCTGTCTCATGTTTAAATGATTGTCCACTAGGACTCCAAGATCCCTCTCACAGTTACTATTATGGAGCGAGGTACCACATAGTACCTCTATGTTCTCAGAGTGTATGCTATTTTCCCCCCCATTCTCGCCCATTAAGCCATGATAAAAGGCGCACTTGGAAAGCAACGGTCAATAAGGCATGGGAGAAAGGCCATAGAGCTGTGGGCTGACATTTGGCGAGCCCAGGGGAATAACGGTCCTCCGTTAATTATTTAAAGGCACTTGGCTTATTAAATGTCACCCGAGGGAGAGAACCATCCTTCCTCTCTTCGAGGCCCTGCAGGACCACTGGCTGAGCTGCCATTTCAGGGCAATGTGCCGGAAACACACATGAGCCTCGGACATCAATGGGTTTCCCAGCAGCGGCCTAACTGTTGGCTTGCAAAACACCTCAGCAGCATATGTTAATTTCAGGATCCAGGTGCAAGTCGACCCCAGTGAACAAGCAAGGTGTCCTATTTTACACACAGGATGCCAATAAGCTGGCGGCTGAACTTTGCTTCTAGGCTGTGGGTGAGACAGCATCTTCAAGACGAGCACGGAGAACTTGGTATGGTTTCCCCAACTACGAGCCATGGTGGCGCAGTGGTTAGAGTGCAGTACTGCAGGCTACTTCTGCCGACTGCCGGCTGACTGCAATTTGGCAGTTTAAAAATTCACCAGGCTCCAGGTTGACTCAGCCTTCCGTTCTTCCGAGGTGGGTAAAATGAGGACCCAGATTGTTGGGGGCAAGAGGCTGATTCTGTAAAACCACTTAGAGAGGGCTGTAAAAGCACTGTGAAGCGGTGTATAAGTCTAAGTGCTACTGCTAGCGCTAGGGTGAGCACAAAATCCCAGGATTTACCTCCGTACGGTCTGCCTAATTGTAGAGCCACCACATCTGGTATGGGTGGGTAGAGCAACTTAGTGGTGGACCCTCCAATAGCCTTAGATAGAGACATTTTTTATTGACTGGAACCCTTTTTCCCCCCAAATCTGTTTTCTCCAGTGAAATCCTGAGGATGCTAATTACATTATTTCCAACCATAAACACATTATTGGTCTTGATTTCCCTGGGGGGAAAAAGGAACCAAAAATACACCTAGAATTAACCGAAACAAAAAAGTCATTCAATCTTTTCCCTTAGAACTGGATGCGTCCAGTTTCCTGTGGTTTTCTAATAGATATTTTATGACCCAACTAGGTAACATCATCAGTGCTAGAAGGGAGTAGGGTCTGGGAGGAGGAAGAGGAGGAGGAGGAGGAGGAGGAGGAGGGGGAGGGGGAGGAGGAGGAGTGTGAGGTCCTTGGTGCTCTTTGAGCCTGGTTGTTTCCTTGCAGACATTTCACAACCCAACCAGGGAATATCATCAGTGTTAGAAAGCAGTGGGGTTTTTGCAGAGTAGTGCAGAGGATCACAACTTCCTGGTTTTACAAGCAACCAGCAATACCAACTACAGCTTTCCCCAATCTAACGGGCTCCTCTTGTCCTCAGTCAATACATTTAGGAAGGCACCAGATCAAGAAAGATCCAGAAACAGAACAGCAACTGGAAAGTCCTCTAGAGAGAGAGACACAGTTTTAGGCCATGGAGTCATAGACAAGCACACTTACCTGTCAGGAAATCAGTGACTGTACTTTATTTTTTTTATTAACCAAGGGTTGAAATTCAAGGCTCTCTGGGTCACCAGACAGCCAAACTACCTCCATTATCCTACAGTAATTTGTACACTCTAAAAAGAAAACCTTCTACATCCTGGCCTGACAATCTGTTCTCAGGATTCATCCTTTTTTGCCAAGAATCCAGCCCTACTTAACGTTTCCCAGTCAACTGAAGCCAGGTGGGCAGCTGATGATGATTTATACGGCCTCTTTGATGAAACTAGGCTTAGAGATCAAAGCCTCCAGAGCAGCTTCCTCAATTCTGTGCCATCCAGATGTGTGGGGATATAACTTCCAGAATACTCAAGGGTTGGGGGTACTGCGGGGTGTCACCCTAAGGCAGCTGGAGCTCTAAAGCTGGAGGAGATCACTCGAGACTTTTCCTTTCCTTTCCCTTCCCTTCTTTCCCTTTCCTTCCTCCCCCTTTCCTTTCCTCCCCTCCTTTCCCTTTCCTTTCTTTTCTCTCCCCTCCTCCTCCTCTCCCCTCCTCCTCCTCTCCCCTCCTCCTCCTCTCCCCTTTCTCTTTCCTCCCCTCTTCCTTTCCTTTCCCTTCCCCTCTTCTTCTCCCCTTCCCTTCCCTCCTCTCCCCTCTCCTTCCCCCCCTTTCCTCTCCTCCTTTTCCTTTCCTTTCTTTCCTCTCCTCTTCCTTTCCTTTCCCTTCCCTTCTTTCTTCCTTTCCCTTCCCCTCTTCTCCCCTTCCCTTCCCTCCCCTTCCCTCTCCTCCCCTTTTCCTTTCTTTCCTCCCCCTTTCCTCTCCTCCTTTTCCTTTCCCTTCTCTTCTCTTCTTTCCTTTCCTTTCCCTTTCCTTCCCCCTTTCCTTTCCTCTCCTCCTCTTTTCCTTTCTTTCCTCTTCCCTCCTCCTCTCCCCTTTCTCTTTCCTCCCCCTTTCCTCTCCTCCTTTTCCTTCCCTTTCTCTTTCCCTCTCCCCGACTTTTCCTCTCCCCTCCTCTTTCTGTATTTTGGGGTCACAAGAAAAAGAAGCAAGAAAAGAAGATACCCGTGAAATGGTTATGTAGTTATGTTAGGAATATTATAAAAAAACTTCTGTTCTACTGACAGATGTACTATAATTAATCTGTTCACCTATAGCACCTAAAGGTGCTATAGGTGAACAGATTTTTGATGCTAAATGCTTGTGATTTTTGATGCTTTTTGCTTATGAGGGGACCTAAAACAAGGTCAATGATCTTATACGGTGTAAAAACAGAAAGAAGGAAAAAATCCCTCTACTTTTGAACATCTGCAGCATTGCCACCTCTTCTGTCTTCTTACCTCACTGTGAGTTTTTTCCACTCGTGTTATATCTCCAACCTCCATTGATTTCAAGGACGGGCCCTTCAAATCAGCATCGGTGTTCAAATTCTCCAGCGCTGCCTTGCATTTGTCCAGAATGTAAAACAGGGTCCCCGTTGAACACTGTTGGAATTTACAAATAAAAAGGAAGAAAGTTTGTGTGAAAAAAGACTGGGAATTTACTGCATAGGAAGCCCAAAAAAACCCAAATAAATCCTATTGTAATTCAGTAGTTCAGCAGATTAACTGAGATCTGCAAACCATCATTTACAACTGAGAAAGGGCTACTGCACAAACATCTGTTAAATGAATCAAGTGTAAATTAACTCAACCTCAGTACAAGTCTTATTCAGGGATTTAGAGAGTATTTGAACTATTGGTTCTCCTAATGTCAAAGGCAAAGAATCTGGGCCATACGTTAAGTTGCAGATTTATTGCTCAAACCGATGCACAAATTACTCAGCTAAAGTTCAATACTAAATTGGCACCAGATAAGGGTCAGCAGAATTCAAGAAGGGTTGGACTTGGACCATTTGTGGGAATGGAATGATTCTAGGCTAGTGACTCATTTAACTCCATCTCCCTTCTAGCACGGCTCTGCTTGCTCTTCTATACCTACTAGATTTGTCTGTTTGTATGTGTGTGTGTCTTCTTCGTTCAGAGTTTTGCAGTGTAAATTCAGCGCCAGAAAAGTAAACACAGATGGCTGAGGCTTCATTTAATATCTTTATAAACATATGAAGTTAATTTTACAATACCAGTTGTAGATTTCTTCAACGTGGAGCAAACTCAAACAGAAGCAGACATGTTAGAAGTTCAGAGCAGAACAGCAACTCAGGAGCTCGGAAACACATCAGTTTCATTTTAGTTCAGCAGGCAAGCAGAGGACAGAAGCAGTTTCATTTTCAAGAGACAGACTCAGAGCTTAATATGGAGCTACGCCTAGGCTGCTTCTAGTTTTAGTTTCCAAATAGTCCTCATTGTATGACTTAGTTGCTATGCCTATTCATTGGCTGACCTTGTTACCATGCTCTATTCCAGTTCATGAATAGACTCTGACATTCTTGAACAATGCCCTTGAATTGTGTTTCACAGACCAAGTGCATTTGTTTAAGAAGTTCCTCAATCCAAAATGTCAAAGGACAATCAAGACCACTGTATGTACTCAAAATGGACAGTGAAAATGACAATAAAAGTAATCTTATCTTTTATCTTACCTACTTTTCAGGGACTATCTAGTTACTGTGCCAAAATTGCCATTCCCACAACATTTTGTTACTTACTTCTGCCACTCTGTGTGTGGAGCTGAATCTTGACTGCCGGCCAGCCAATACACAATGTTGGTGAGTCATATTCAGATCATCTAGAAAAAGATCATTAAAGCACAAATAAGTATTCGCCCATGAAGCCATTTGGTGGAAACAAGAGAAGCCTTAACTCAGGGGTCTTCAAAGTTGGCAGCTTTAAGACTTGTGGACTTCAACTCCCAGAATTCCTCCTCCAGTCATGTTAGCTCAGGAATTCTGGGAGTTGAAGTCCACAAGTCTTAAACCTGGCAAGTTTGAAGACCCTTGGAATAGATAGATAGATAGATAGATAGATAGATAGATAGATAGATAGATAGGGAGATAGGGAGATAGAAGATAGATACTGTAGATTAGGGGTCTTCCAACTTGGCAACTTTAAGACTTGTGCACTTCAACTCCCAGAGTTCCTTCTCCAGTCATGTTAGTTCAGGAATTCTGGGAGTTGAAGTCCACAAGCCTTAAACTTGCCAAGTTGGAAGACTCTTGCCTTAATCCAAGAGAGAGGGTGTTTCTGGTAGTACAGCTAGTCCTTGACATACAACAGTTTATTTAGTGGGCGTTCAAGTTACAACGGCACTGAAAAAAGTAACTTATGACCATTGTAGCATCTCCATGGTCACATGATCAAAATTCAGTCTCTTGACAACTGACTCATATTTATGATGGTTGCAGAGTTTTGGGGTCCCAAAAGTCAACGGGGAAGCCCGGTTCACTTAATGACTGTGTGACTAATTTAACAACCGCAGTGATTCACTTACACCACTGAGGCAAGAAAGGTCGTAAAATGGGACAAAGCCCACTTCACCCATGTTTCACTTAGCAACAAAAAAATTTGGCCTCTCTTCCTTGTGGCTGTAAGTCGAGTTCTGCATCGTTGGCAAAACTATCCGTCATTATTTCAAAAGTCAATACACACCTAAAAAGAAAAAATATTCTGGGAAAATGTTATTATGCATACTGTTACATGATACAAGTTACTATCATTACTATGCATAAGTAAACGTTAAAAGCTGAAAGGCTACTTATCATGTATGCTTAAATAGTAAAAAGTAAGAGATGATGGAGGGACGCGGTGGCTCAGAGGCTAAGACGCTGAGCTTGTCGATCAGAAAGGTCGGCAGTTCGGCGGTTCGAATCCCTAGCGCTGCGTAACGGAGTGAACTCCCGCTACTTGTCCCAGCTTCTTCCAACGTAAAAAACGCAAGTAGAAAAACAGGGACCACTTTGGTGGGAAAGGAACAGCGTTCTGTGCGCCTTCGAAGGCGTTTAGTCCTGCCAGCCACATGACCATGGAGACGTCTATGGACAGAGCTGGCTCTTCGGCTTTGTAACGGAGACGAGCACCACTCCCTAGAGTCAGAAATGACTAGCACGTATGTGTGAGGGTAACCTCTACCTTTACGAGATGATGGATAGATACATAATACTTTTTAATATGGGAATTGTTGTATTAGGGGTTAGAAATAAGAGCTAGAAAGTAGAAACTGGGAAAACAGCACTATGTATACTTCTACAAAATAGAATACATTATAACTACAATGGACTGTATGTGTAAATCTTAAACATTGAAAGATTATTACTATGTATACCTAAATAATATTATTATTGTTACTAGTACTTTGTATAAAGCAAATTGACCCAGACATTGTAGTGTTCACTAAGCACTTATATATGTTGAAGGAAAAAAACCATAAATAAAATTACAAGAGAGAGAGAGAGAGATTGAGAAATTCAGAATATTCTACAGTTGCCAGAAGGGGAACATTTAAGAAGAGAGAGCCATGGGGGAGAGAAAACCCTTGTGTAATTAATCAGCAGAAAAACGAACAAGTCGTTGTAAGCTTACCAAACTCACAAGATCAAAGCTGGAGTGGCAATAAATACATTTCGGGGGCTCGGGACGGTTGGGGAGGGGAAAAATAGACACAGACAGCACGCAGCTCAAAAGTGGGGTCAGGTTTCCAACGCGAAACCGCTGGCAGGCATCTGTACACTAAAGTGTTCCCAGTGAACGCTGTAATTTTCTAACCACACGTCATTTCTACTCAAGAGTGCTCCCCATTTCTGGTGAAATGGGAAGACAAGCTTTGGATGGGCCTTGAAGTCTAACGCGCGCGGCCCTCTGATTATGTTTACTCCGTCCCGTTCTCCACCAAAGAGAGGCCAGTCGAATTTATCCCTGGAGCCGCGTTTAAACCTCTAACCTTCGGGCAAGGTTCAATCTATCAGAAACAGCTGGGCTTTTCAACGTGCGTATGTTCACTTTTAGAAGGCATGGAAGCAAAAATTTTGCAACCGCTGGGAAGGAAAAAAAGAATCGGCTCGCAAAATCCAGCTCCGGGTCTATTTCTTGGTGGTGGATCAGAAGAGAAGGGGGTTTCAAACACGGTCTAAGGACAACATGACTTCCATGCGGACTGCTCCCTTTCCTACTATTATCATCCAATCACTTGGCACGTGAGTTTGATTAGCACATTATGTGAAGCCGTATGATAATTCAATTGATTCGGCCTTATGCAACATCTAACACCTACTACCGGGATAAATTACATTGTATGATCTAGGCGGGGTTCTTCCTCAAGGGGCGCAGCTATGATACTGAATGCGGTTATCGTTCGCATGCAAAATGCGCCGTAGACTTGTGCAACGCACTTTTTATTCCCCCTAGTGCAAGTCATTTTGGTTAGCATCATAATTTATGGCAAAACACACAGCTTGGAAAAACTTGGGCTGTTTTCGCGCATCACTTGATTCATCAGTAGAAAAACGCCACTCCTTCTAGAACTGGAGGAAATATCCTTTCGATACAGCTTTAAATATTGTGCAAAACCCATCGTGTGATTAACCCCAGTGGCTTCGCTGAACCGTAAAACATAGCTGGCAAGTCATCACTAGGTCGATTCCTCCAAAACACTAAGCTAAACATCAATAAACCATTTACAGTGTAGCAATGAGATTTATCTCTGGAGGGTTGAAATATACAATATACCGACTTCTTGACCATAATTACAGTTGGGTTTTGTTTTTGTTTTTCATGAAAAGCCAAGGAATAACAGAATGACAGAGTTGGAAGGGACCCTTGGAGATCTTCTAGCCCAGTTCCCGGCTCAAGCAGGAAACCTTATAACATTTCAGACAAATGGTTGTCCGGTCTCTTGTTATAAACTTCCAATGTTGGAGCATTCACAACATCTGGGGGGAAATTATTTCATTGATTAATGGTTCTCAGTGTCAGGAAATTTCTCCTTAGGAGAGGGAGAGGGAGAGAGACCGGGGGGGAGGGAGAGTGGGAGACAGAGAGAGAGAGAGGGAGAGAGAGGGAGGGAAGGAGAGTGGGAGACAAAGAGAGAGGGAGGGAAGGAAAGTGGGAGAGAAAGAGAGAGATGGAGGAGAGGGAGAGAGAGGGGGAGAGAGAGGGAGAGAGGGGGGGACAGGGAGGGAGGGA